AAAAAATTATCGACCCTTAAGCATGCTAAACACGGACTATAAAATTTTAGCAAAGGTTTTAGCTAATAGATTGAAAGTAGTTGTACCTAACATAATCAAAACAAATCAAGCATATGCAGTTCTAAAAAGAGACATAACTGATGTCATAAACAATATAAGAGATATAATATGGTATATGAGAGAGGAAAAAGAAACAGGATATATAATCAGTGTCGATTTAGAAAAAGCTTTTGATAGAGTGGAACACAAATATATGATGGATGTAATGGAGAGATTTGGTTTTGGAGAAAGATACTTACAATGGATAAAATGTTTATATGCAGATATAACAAGCTGTATAAAAGTAAATGGTTTTTTAACTAAAGATTTTAAAATAACAAGATCAATAAGACAAGGATGTCCAATGTCAGCACTATTATACACACTTGTATCTGAAACATTGGGATTAGCCATTGATAACGAAACGCAAATACGAGGATTATGTATAAAAGGAACAGACTTAGAACACAAAATATTTCAGTATGCTGATGATACTACTTTAATAGTAAAAGATATTAAAAGTATTGAAAAAGCAGAGGAAATTTTAAACAGATATTGTAATGGAACAGGAGCAAAAATTAATAAGGAAAAAACTAAATACATGAGACTGGGAAAAATAAATGTTTTACCAGAAAAAAATCTAATTTAAAGAGGAGAAAGTTGATATGAAAATGTTAGGTATAAGGGTTGGTGAAAATGAAAATGAAACAAGGAATTTAATGTGGGAGGAAGTTTTAAAGGGAATGGAGAAAAGATTACATTTCTGGAAATTAAGAAGTTTGTTTTTAAAGGGGAAAGTTTTAGTTTTAAATTCCTTATTTTTTATCAAAAATGTGGTATGTTTTAGGTACAGTGAGTTTGCCAATGAGTGTGTATAAAAAGATAAAAGCTATTGTTTTAGATTTCTTATGGGATGGAAAACCTTCCAAAATAGCGTATGACACCATAATTGGTAAAGTTGAAGAAGGAGGCTTAGGTTTAATTGATCCACTAATCAGAATAAAAAACATAAGAATTAAAACTGTAAATAAATATTGGAAAGAAGAAAAACATGTATGGAAAGATGTGATGAGGTATTTTTTAAATAAATGTGGGGAAATACAAGAATATATATTATGGATGAAGCCCAAAGAGAATATGATGAATAAAGTTCCAGAATTCTATAAAGAGGTTATTAAAGCATGGGGAGATTTTAGAAAGCATATTGATTGTTCATTTAGTAAAGAAGATATTTTAAAGCAACCGCTGTTTTTAAATGAATACATTAAAGAAGGGAATAATACAATTTTTTATAAGAAATGGTTTAATGCAGGAATAAAGCAAATTAAAGATTTTTATATGAAGTGATACCTGGTTATGTACAGGCGCACGTAATAAAAGATGCAATAATAGAAAACTATGAAAACGAAACTAAAAGAGTTATTGAAAAGCAGCTTAACAACTTGAAAAAAAATATACCAAAAGAATGGAAAGAAATTATAGAAAATAAATTTGAAATGCACAGAGATGAAGGAAGGGTGATAAACTTTAAAGAAAATCAATATGCTTTCAAAGATGGTATAATGAAAATGTTTTATTCTTGTTTATGTAAAGATGTTTTTGTTACACCCAAAGCAGAAGAGTACTGGAAAAGATTATATTCCAATATTGAAAAGAAGGAAATATGGCAAAATTTAAGAGCTTGGTGGAAAAGTCCCGTTTTAGAGAATTTTGATTACATTTTAAGACAAAACTGTTTATTAAGTGAAATGAGATTGTGTAAAATAGGTTTGGCAAATGATGCAAGATGTAAAGTTTGTAATGAAGAAGATGAAGGTATACTACATTTGTTTTTTAAATGCAAAGAGTTAAAATGTTTGATTGGAAAAATTAAAGAAATGCTAAATGAAATGGGGATTGAAAATGAGGTTGTTGATGAGGAATGGGAAACATTATTTTTATTTGGTTGTAAAACAGAAGGTAAAAACACAAGGTTCATAAACTTGTGAAATGTGATATGGAATAGAAGGAATATTGTTAAAGAAAAGAATAGCAAAATATCTGTGTGTAAATTGTTTCAAAGAAAAATGTCTGAACTGCTTAATACTCTTTTCTATTATTGTAACATGAATGACAAGATTGATGTATTTGAAAAAAGACTTTTTAGGTGGGAATACATATGTTCAAATGGCTTTATATAATTTACATGTATTATTACCTGAATGTAATTGTTTTTCATTTTTGATATATATATATAAAAAAAGCAATACCCGATAATCCCGTGGCTCGCCATGATCGTATAGTGGTTAGTACTCTGCGTTGTGGCTGCAGCAACCCCGGTTTGAATCCGAGTCACAGCAGGTTTTTTAAGGTGACATTGGTGTCGCACTCTGTGTCGCCATCCTTAATCTCCAGCGTCCTTTTAGTGCAGGCTGTGCCACTGGAACGTTCTGAATGTTTCCTAAAGAGTGGAAGACTAGGGATTCGATATGAGCAACGGGACCTTTGATGCCAGCATGCTGTGTAGATAAGCATTGATCAAGTCACGCTTCTAAGGCATGGAAGGAATATTTTCAATTGTTAAGTCTCCATTCATTGCCACAACAACAGAAAGACCTTCTGCAGTTGCATTGATCCATTTAAAGGGCACCTAGGTTCCCCCTTTTTTTAGATTTAATATAAGTCTTTTGCGTCTCTAGAAAGTGTATATAAAGTTTCAGATCAAAATACCCATCAGATTTTTCATTATATCTTTTACAAGATTCTGTTTTATACTGATTTCCATCAGGGGGTGGTTTTGTCGTACTGCGCCTTTAAGCCGAGTTCTGCCCGCCTACTGTTTCTACATGCCTCCTCCCTCAGCTGCGTCAGACAACAGACAGACTTAAAGGAAGAAGGTCTCACATAGCGTTTGTGAGATACTACAGTAAGAACTAACCTTTACTAATCAGTATTGTGATGTTGCATTGATGAGTCACACATAATATCGTTACGAAGTTAACGCGCACACACACACACACAGAGAGATACACACGCACACACAGATACACACGCACACACAGGCAGGCAAGCAGGCAGACAGACAGACAGAGCGCGCTTAGCTTAGTTAAGGCTAACCTCAAGTACTGTGTGGATATCTGTTATGCTAATGTACAAAATAAACCTGATTTAACTTCCACAAACCGGGATTGAAGCGTCTTCTTTTATAATTGTTCTGACACGCAGCTGTGCTGATGAAGTAAAGCTGAAGTAAATCGCTGTTATTAATTACACACATACTCTGTTTTAAAACACTTTAAACATGTGAAACTTACTCTTAATCACATTTGATGATGATTGCTGATCCTAGCGAACAGAACAGACCCTTTATTCCCGGTTGCTTTGCGTATGTCTGTCTGGTCTTGTTGACATATACACGTGACTACCGGAACATGTTAATGCGCGCAGCTGTCAATCAATTCGGTGGGCGGGGGGATCGCACACCTATGTAATGGTGCGATCGATTTGAAAACAGCTCCAATTGGCCGACCCTTTTTTTGTAGTTAAATTGAAAAAAAAAGGACTGGGTGTGTTCATATCACCTCAGTATGACAGTCTATACACTATACCAACACACAGATCTGTCCAAACAGCTTGAAAAGTAGATTTTTTACCATAGGTGCCCTTTAATGTCTCCTACATGACATTGAGTCCAATCTATTGTGTTATACTGATGTCTACACCTACAGCAACCATAAATCCAACCTCACAGTAAACTTTTGTGTTTTAGCAACATTTACACCAACCACAAGCCTAAACTGTACGTCACGGTAAACTTTTGTGTGCCGTAAAGGTCTGCGCCGACCATAACCCTAAACCTTGCCTACTTGTAAAGCATTCTCATGGAGCCTGGATAGCTCAGTCGGTATCGCATCAGACTTTTACTCTGAGGCTCCAGGGTTCAAGTCCCTGTCTTGGCGTAGAAGCCTCTTTTTGTGGAGCCACAGCTTTTGCGGTTAAGCTATTGCTACCTGAAAGTTTCATCTGGATGCACCACACATGTGCCAAGCAGAGAGCATGATTTGGTTTGCGACCTTCCTTGATTGTTTGCAACTTCTGTGTTTCTTGGGAAAAGGAATATGCTGGTAGGAAAAAGCAACAAAAATAAAATGGCAGCGCAGGCTAGCTAGCTGCCCTGGGGGGTCCTCCATTTTCAAAGACATTTGACAGAGAGTGAAAGTCCAGTGATTGTCCCGTAGCTCGCCATGATCGTATGGTGATTAGTACTCTGCATTGTGGCTGCAGCAACTCCAGTTTGAATCCGGGTCACGGCAGATTTTTTTTTTTAAGGTGCCATTGGTGTTGCACTCTGTGTTGCCATCCGTAATCTCCAGCCACCTTTCAGTGCAGGCTGTGCTAAAAAAAAGTTTGGAAGACTAGGGATTCGATATGAGCAACGGGACCTTTGATGCCAGTATGCTGTGTAGATGAGCATTGATCAAGTCACGCTTGTAAGGCATGGAAGTAATCTTTTCAATTGTTAAGTCTCCATTCATTGCCACAACAGCAGAAAGACCTTCTGCAGTTATCATTGATCTATTTAATGTCTCCTACATGACATGGAGTAAAACTATTGTGTTGTACTGATGTCTACACCTACAACAACCATTAACCCAACCTCACAGTAACCTGTCGTGTTTTAGCAACATCCACACCAACCACATGCCTAAACCCCACGTCACAGTAAACTTTTGTGTACCATAAAGGTCTGCGCCGACCACAACCCTAAACCTTGCCTACTGAAAAAGCATAGCCGTGGAGCCTGGATGGCTCAGTCAGTAAAGCATCAAACTTTTAATCTGAGGGTCCAGGGTTCAAGTCCCTGTTTGGGCATATAAGAGTCTTTTTGTGGAGCCACAGCTTTTGCGGTTGAGCTATCGCTTGCTGAAAGTTTCATCTGGATGCACCACACATGTGCTAGCCATGAGGACATGGCAGTACATGTAGTTGTGGCTGAGTGGTTAAGGTGATTGACTCAAAATCTATTGGGTGTCTCTCCGTGCAGGTTCGAGTCCTGCCGACTGTCATGTATTTTGTATGAGTGTGCTACCCGTACCTGAGTGACGTCATCATGTTGAGTTCAGTTAATAAAAGAATACAGCATGGAACAGCACGGCTACTCTGGTGTCATCTTATACATCACTTAAAAATGTAAAATACATAACATGGTGTCAGAAGTGGGATCGTAAACGGAAAGCACAACTGAGAAGATGTCACTACTGCAACCACCATCAGTGTTGTCTCTTCAAGGCAACTTGGCTGAGAATTGGAAGGTATGGCTTCAGAAATTTGAATTATACCTCATTGCTAGCGGAGTGGCGGAGAAATCTGAAACAGTACAGTGTGCAACCTTTCTTCATATCGCGGGTGAAGAAGCGATCAAAGTTTATAACACATTCCAGTTCACCGCAGAAGAAGTGAATAAGACTGAAGCACTTAAAAGGAAATTTAAAGAGTACTGTGAGCCAAGAAAGAATCTGCCATATATTCGTCACATGTTTTTCACGAGAACACAAAGTACCGGAGAGACAATTGATGCATACGTCACGGATCTTAAACACAAGGCGAAAGACTGTGAATTCGGTGATTTGACTGACTCGCTAATAAGGGACAGAATTGTTTGCGGGATAAAAGATGACAATGTTCGCGCAAGGCTGTTGCGGGAGGCAGATCTCACATTGGAAAAGGCAATAGACACCTGCAGAGCCAATGAAATTACGTCAAATCAAATGAAAATGCTTGTTGAAGAAGTTGACGTGAATAAAATAAGCAGTGTTAAAAATACAAAGAAAAGAGGCAAAACTGTGCAGTTTGAACAGAAAAGTAGACAACACGCTTTGGAAAATCAGTCCAAAACACACGTGAAATGTTCACGATGTGGATATCAACATGAATACCAAAAGTGCCCAGCGTATGGACAAGTGTGTAAATCCTGTAACAAAAGGAATCACTTTGCAAAAATGTGCAAAACTCAAGTATCAACAAAGAAAATACAATCAATAGATGAAAATGAGCAAAGTGATGATGAACGAAGTGATTTTTTTGTAGGAACTATTGAGCTGCAAACAAATCAAAGAGTGAAAAATGTGCACACTGTCACCACTGAAGCACAAAATCTGAAGGACAACTGGACTGAAAGCTTGAGAATAAACAACAAGAGTGTCACATTCAAGTTAGACACAGGAGCAGCCTGTAATGTAATGCCCCACAATGTGTTCACAACACTAGAAACACAAAGAAAACTGAAGAAATCTAACTGTCACCTAGTTACATATTCTGGCCACAAGATGTAGCCTGTGGGTCAAGTACAGCTAACTTTCACCTACAGAAAACAAAAGCACAACAATCAGTTTCAAGTGGTGGATGGAAACGTACCTGCAATACTTGGACGCACAACCTGTGAAAAACTAAGAATGGTCAAAAGAATTCATGAAATAAGTGAAAGTGAAAATAAAGCTGACCCTTTAAAAGGATTTGATGTCTTGTTTTGTGGTCTTGGTTGCTTACCAACTGTGCATCACATCAAAACAGACCCTGATGTGTCACCAGTGATTCATCCACCAAGAAAGGTTCCAATAGCCCTTAAAGACAAAATAGTTGAAGAATTACACAAGATGGAAAGTATGGGAGTTATAGTAAAGCAGACAGAACCGACAGATTGGGTGAATAGTATGGTAACTGTGGTGAAACCAAACAAAATCCGTATATGTATGGATCCGCAGGACCTCAATAAAGCAATTAAGCGTGAGCATTATCCATTACTGACAGTGGAAGAAGTGGTATCCAGCATGCCAAATGCCAAGATATTTTCAGTCCTGGACGCTAATCAAGGTTTCTGGCAAATAAAGCTAGATGATGAAAGCTCCAAACTCTGTACATTCAATACACCAATAGGCAGGTATAGATTCCTTCGCTTACCGTTTGGTGTGTCTTCAGCCAGTGAAGTGTTCCAGCGTGCGATTGCACAGATGTTAGAAGGTCTTGAAGGTGTGGTCAATGTCATAGATGACATATGGGGAGAAACAACAGAAGAACATGATCACAGACTCATCAAGCTACTGGAAAGAGCAAAAGAGTGTAATCTAAAACTGAACAAGAGCAAGTGCCAAATAAGAACTTTAGAAATAAGATATCTTGGACATATCATCTCAGAGGAAGGTCTCAAGCCAGATGAGGAAAAAATAAGAGCAATTGTAAAAATGCCACCACCTGAAAACAAACAAGCACTCATGAGATTTATGGGCATGGTGCAATACCTGTCCAAATTCATTCCAAATCTATCCGATATCAGTGCTCCTCTTAGAAAACTGCTTGAAGAAGATATTCAGTGGCACTGGGAGGAAGAGCAACAAAAAAGCTTCACAAAAATGAAGAATTTGTTAGCAAATGCACCAACACTACAATTCTTCAATGTACAGAAACCTGTCACGCTTTCAGTTGATGCCAGCTCAGAAGGGATTGGAGCAGTTATTCTACAAGACAAAAAGCCAGTGGCATATGGATCACGTGCGCTAACAGATGCTCAAAAGAATTACGCACAAATTGAAAAAGAGTTGCTTGCTATTGTTTATGGATGTGAAAAATTTCATCAATATCTCTATGGCAAAGAAGTATAGGTTGAAAGTGATCATAAACCATTGGAGATCATTTTTAAGAAACCACTGCACCAAGCTCCACCTAGATTGCAGCGCATGCTCCTCAGACTTCAAAGATACACCCTGAAGGTAGTTTACAAGCCAGGTAAAGAAATGCACATTGCTGATGCATTAAGTCGTGCATACCTGAATGAGTGTACAGAAGATTTGCTTGGTCAACAGCTGGAATTGTGCTGCATAACAACATACTTACCTGTTTCAGAAGAAAAACTAAATGTTTTTCGCAAAGCTACAGCTACTGATCAAGAAATGCAATTACTGTGCAAAATGACAATGGGTGGATGGCCTAAAGAAAAAAGTGAAGTTCCAAAACAGATTCAGACATACTGGACTTTCAAAGAAGAAATAAGTTTCACTTCTGGACTTCTTTTTAAATCGGCAAAGATCATTGTTCCAAGTCAATTGAGAAAAGAAATGCTAACAAAAATGCACGAATCACATCTTGGAGTTGTAAAGTGTAAGGAACGAGCCAGGGATGTTCTGTATTGGCCAAACATGTCGACTCAAATTGAAGAGTTTGTCTCACAATGTCCAGTGTGCAATGCACACAAGAACAGTAATCCAAGAGAGCCAATGATATCACATCCAATACCAGGAAGACCTTGGTCCAAAATTGGTACAGACCTGTTCCATTTTGATGGTTCAAATTACTTACTTTCTGTTGATTACTACTCTAAATTCACAGAAATCAGCAAACTGTCTGACACAACTGCTCAGAGTGTAATTATGGCAATGAAGTCAATGTTCGCAAGATATGGAATACCGGATACCGTGGTCTCAGACAATGGTCCACAGTATGCCAGCACAGAGTTCAGCAATTTTGCAAAAGCATGGGAATTTGAACATGTGACATCCAGCCCGGGACACGCACAGTCGAATGGACAGGCTGAGAGAGCAGTCCAAACCATAAAAAACCTGCTGAAGAAAGCTCAGTGTGGTAAAAATGATCCTTACATTTCTTTATTGGAATACAGAAACACACCGTTGGATGGTATTGGGTACTCACCAGCACAGTTATTGATGGGACACAGACTCAAATCCAAGATACCTACCTCAGTCACTTTGTTGACACCTGAAAACAACATAAAAATTCATCATAAATTGAAACAAAGACAACACAAGCAGAAGTCTTACTTTGACAGACAAACAAGACTACTTCCAAATGTCCATGTTGGAGAAACTGTGAGAGTGCAACAAGGAGATGTTTGGAAACATGCAATAATCACACGAAAACATGAACATCCCAGATCCTTCATCATACAAACTCCAGAAGGAAGAACATACAGGAGAAACAGGAAACATATTCTCAAGACCGGAGAGAAAAGTTTCACAACTGTGACAGACAACACAGTCAGTGATGTGATAGACTCGCATGTCCCTGACACGTCATCAATGCTGGACAATGACGCACAAGAAACTGTAGTCACTGAGTCTCAGTCACATGAGTACATTACCCGGTCTGGGAGACAAGTGAAATTGCCTTCAAGATACAAAGACTGAAAATCTACAGCATGTTTAGCTCTGATTTGAATTAGAAACTTCATCTCTGTTTACAATTAAAGAAATAAAGAAAGAATAGTGTAGATAAAGAAAAGTTCTATTTAGTTTTTGCAGTTATTTAAAGCATACATAATAAGGAGTTTACAAATACAGTGTTAAAAAAAAAAAAGTTTATACATTGCTGAAGATTGCATAGTATTAAACTTAAGAGAAGGGATGTCATGTATTTTGTATGAGTGTGCTACCCGTACCTGAGTGACGTCATCATGTTGAGTTCAGTTAATAAAAGAATACTGCATGGAACAGCACGGCTACTCTGGTGTCATCTTATACATCATTTAAAAATGTAAAAAACATAACACCATGATATCCCTGTACTGGATTGGCCAGACCACACTCACACTCCTGTTGAGCATTTATTAACCCTAGTTACTGACTCCTGATGAATGAGAGTGATCAGACATTTACTGAAGCATTATTAATGCACAGTTGTGCTTGTGAACATCAGTTAATGCACTGAGAGTCAACAAGAACTAACAGAGAACAACTTTACTGTCATCAACTAACATGAACAGATCAATAAATACTGGAATAAATGTGTTTTTATTGTTCAGTTCAAGTCAAATCATGAAGAAGAAGAAGATCAGAAGAGCAGAAACAAAC